TCGACGCCCCGTTCCAGTTACGTATTTAGCATTCAACGAATTAGAAGAATTGCAGAAACCACAACAGGAAAAACTGATTTCATTAACATTCGTTTTTCTGTCCAGTCATTTGTCCGAAGCTGAGAATGACATTCGCAACCTCACGGCGCCATAACTCCGGTTGAGCACTGGTCTCAACTAGGCAAGTGCGGTTCCGAATCTGCTGTTGAAGCTTATTTATCTGTCTTCCATATACATCCCTTTTCTTCATGCTCTCATTTAGCTTGATTTGTGGGTTTCGCATTGTTAGATTATTATGCCGTGTCATATATGTTATAAAATCACAGTTCTACGTTTTTGGCTAACTGAGATCTTTCATTCGAAAAATATTTTTTCTTCAACAGTCTCGAAGAAAATTTCAAAAACTGAACTTATTTCTGTTTTTCAACGTTCTTTTCACAATAGATTGAAAGCTCAAGTGACTTTTCGCAGGTGCTCCTCGCCACTATAAGCACTCAGGCTAAGAGCACTGGTCGTAAAATATTAGGGGCCTGGTTCGAATCTCTGTGGACAACATTTATCATGTGCAACATGACACACCTGCTTCATCATATTGGCTTGGTTATGGGTTTACTTGTGTTCAGATTATGTTACCAGTGTTATGTATATTCTCAAACACAGCGTTCTTACCTTTTTTTGTAGCTGAGATCTTTCATTCGAAAAAATATTTTCATTCAACAGTCTAGAAAGAATTGCATTTAAACCTGAACAGGATTTCTGTTTCAGCATTCATTTCGCTTTCACAGTCATTTGGTCTCAGAACTGGAAGCTGACTTCTGCATCCACGGCGCCTACCATCCAGCTCGAGGGATTAGAGCACTGGTCTCTAACCAGGTCGCGAGTCTCCATCGTAACAGGTTTATCCTGTGTCTTATACGGGCATGACCACGCACCTTTCTTATGCTCATTGCTTGCGTTGTGGTATTACCATATTGTAGATTAGTATACAGTGTCATAATATATTCTCGGAAATCACAGAGAACTATTTTTTGTATACTGAGATGCTTCATTCTGAAAAAAATATTTATTCAACTGCACTCGAAGAAATTGCAAAACACTGAAGACTATTTCTGTATTTTCAAACTCTACTTTCTGTCACGGTGGAAAGCTCAAGAGGACTTTTCGCGGATCTCCTCGCGCCTCCATAGCTCAGAGGGAGAGGTTAGAGCACTGGTCCTTCAAACCAGGGGGTGCGAGTTACAGTCGACTGGTGGCTTATTTTATCGTTCTTATGGGCTACATCCTTTTACTCGTCATATGCTTGGTTATGCGGTTTCTTGTGTAAGATTTACGTGATACGTGTCATAATATTCTGGAATAGCAGCGTTCTTACATTTTTCTTGCTAATGAGATCTTCATTCGAAAAAATTTTTCATTCAACAGGTTCCGAACGAAATTGAGCAAACCGAGACAGATTTCTGTTTCAACATGCTTCGTTTTCTGTCCAATCATTTGTCCGAAAAGCTGAATGAATGACATTCCTGCAAGCCCTCCCACGGCGCCTGTAGCTCGAGGTTAAGACCACTAGTGCCCTCATAAATATAAAACTGAAATTCTGAGGTTCGAATCTCGCTGGTGGCTTATTTATCTCTTATACATTACCCACATCCTTTTCTTCACTCATTGCTTGGTTTGTGGGTTTCATATTGTTATCTTGTTAAGATTATGTGTACCGTGTCATATATATTCTCGGAAATCAAAGCGTTCTTACATTTTTTGGCTAACTGAGATCTTTCATTCGAAAAAATATTTTTCTTTCAACAGTCTCGAAGAAATTTCAAAACCTGAACTTATTTCTGTTTTCATCATTCCTTTTCTGTCGGGTCAGAAAGCTCAAGAGTGACTTTCGCGGTCTCCTCGCGCCACTATAGCTCAGAGACTAGAGCACTGGTCTCGTAAACCAGGGGTCGCGAGTTCGAATCTCGCTGGTGGCTTATTTATCTGTATCTTATACATGCCACAACCTCTGCTTCATGCTCATTCCTTGGTTGTGGGTTTAATCTTGTTAAGATTACGTATACCGTGTCATATAGATTCTCGGAAATCACAGCGTTCTTACATTTTTGGGCTAACTGATATCTTTCATTCGAAAAAATTATTTTTCTTTCAACAGTCTAGAAGAAATTGCAAAACCTGAACAGATTTCTGTATTCAACATTCATTTTCTGTCCAGTCATTTGTCCGAAATCTGAAGAATGACATTCGCAGCCTCACGGCGCCACCATAGCTCAGAGGTTAGAGCACTGGTCTCGTAAACCAGTGGTCGCGAGTTCGAATCTCGATGGTGGCTTATTTAACTGTGTCTTATACATGCCACATCCTTTGCTTCATGCTCATTGCTTGGTTGCGGGTTTCATCGTGTGCAGATTATGTTTACAGTGTCATATATATTCTCGGAAATCACAGCGTTCTTACATTTTTTGCTAGCTGAGATCTTTCATTCGAAAAAATATTTTTCATTCAACAGTCTAGAAGAAATTGCAAAGCCTGAACAGATTTCTGTATTCAACATTCGTTTTCTGTCCAGTCATTTGTCCGAAAGCTGAAGAATGACATTCGCAGCCTGACGGCGCCACCATAACTCAGAGGTTAGAGCACTGGTCTCGTAAACCACGGTTCGCGAGTTCGAATCTCGCTGGTGGCTTTTTTATCTGTGTCTTATACATGCCACATCCTTTGCTTCATGCTCATTGCTTGGTTGTGGGTTTCATCTTGTTAAGATTATGTATACCGTGTCATATATATTCTCGGAAATCACAGCGTTCTTAAGCATTTTAATGAACTGAGATCTTCATTCGAAAAATATTTTCTTTCAACAGTCTAGAAGAAATTGCAAAACCTGAACAGATTTCTGTATTCATAACATTCTTTTCTGTCCGGTCGAAAGCTCAAGATGACTTTCTTTAGCTCCGCGCCACCATAGCTCGAGGTTAGAGCACTGGTCCGTAAACAGGTCGGGAGTTCGAATCTCTGCGGTGGCTTATTTACCTTGTTATACATGCCACATCTCTTTCATGCTCATTGCTTGGTTGTGGTTTATCTTGTTCAGATTATGTTTACAGTGTATATATATTTCTCGGAAATCACAGCGTTCTTTATTTTTTTGGCTAGCTGAGATTCTATCATTGAAAAAATATTTTCATTCAACAGTCTAGAAGAAATTGCAAAACCTGAACAGATTTTTATTAACATTCGTTTTCTGTCCAGTCATTTGTCCGAAAGCTGAAGAATGACATTCGCAGCCTCACTGGCCACTAGCTCAGAGGTTAGAGCACTGGTCTCTAAACCAGGGTCGTGAGTCTGAATCTCGCTGGTGCATTTAACTGTGTCTTTACATGCCACATCCTCTGCTTCATGCTCATTGCTTGGTTGTGGGTTTACATCTTGTTAAGATTATGTATACGTGTCATATATATTCTCGGAAATCACAAGTTCTTACATTTTTGGCTAACTGAGATCTTCATTCTGAAAAAATATTTTTCTTTTAACAGTCTCGAAGAATTGCAAACCTGAACTTATTTCGTTTCAACATTCCTTTTCTGTCCGGTCAGAAAGCTCAAGAGTGTCTTTCTCGGTCTTCTCGCGCCACCATAGCTCAGAGGTTAGAGACTGGTCTCGTAAACCAGGGGTCGAGTTCGAATCTCGTGGTCTTATTTAACTGTGTTCATACATCACATCTTTTGCTTCATGCTCATTGTTGTTTGTGGGTTTCATCTTGTTAATTATATACCGTGTCTATATATTCGGAAATCACAGGTTCTTACATTTTTTAACTATGAGATCTTTCATCGAAAAAATATTTTCTTTCACAGTCTAGAAGAAATGCAAAACCAACATTTCTGTATTCAACATTCTTTTCTGTCCGGTCTTTGTGAAAGCTGAAGTGTTCCGTCTCGGCGCCACCATAGCTCAGAGGTTAGAGCACTGGTCTCAGAACCAGGGGTCCGAGTTCGAACTCGCTGGGCTTATTTATCTGTGTCTTATACATGCCACACCTTGCTTCATGCTCATTGTTGTTGTGGGTTTATCTTGTTAGATTATCTATGTCATATATATTCTCGGAAATCACAGCGTTCTTACATTTTTGGCTACTGAGATCTTTCATCTGAAAAAATATTTTCTCTCAACAGTCCTGAAGAAATTGAAAACCTGAACTTATTTCTGTTTTCAACATTCCTTTTCTGTCTGCAGAAAGCTCATGAGTGACTTCGGTCTCCCCGCGCCACCATAGCTCAGAGGTTAGAGCACTGGTCCGTAAACCAGGGGTCGCGAGTTCGAATCTCTGGTGGCTTATTTATCTGTGTCTTATACATGCCACACCTTTTTTTTCATGCTCATTGCTTGGTTGTGGTGTTAATCTTGTTAAGATTATGTTACCGTGTCATATATATTCTCAAATCACAGCGTTCTTACATTTTTGGCTAACTGAGATCTTTCATTCGAAAAAATATTTTCTTCAACAGTCTGAAGAAATTTCAAAACCTGAACTATTTCTGTTTCAACATTCCTTTTCTGTCCGGTCAGAAAGCTCAAGAGTGACTTTCCGGTCTCCTCGCGCCACCATAGCTAGAGGTAGAGCACTGGTCTCAAACAGGGTCGCGAGTTCGAATCTCGCGGCTTATTTATCTGTGTCTAAAATAGCCCACCTTGCTTCATGCTCATTGGTTGTGGTTTAATCTGTTAAGATTATGTATACCGTGATCATATATTCTCGGAATCACAGTTCTTTACATTTTTGGCTAACTGAGATCTTTCATTCGAAAAAATATTTTTCTTCAACAGTCTAGAAGAAATTTCAAAACCTGAACAGATTTCTGTATTCAACATTCTTTTCTGTCCAGTCATTTGGTGAACTGAAGAATGACATTCGCAGCCTCACTCGCCACCATAGCTCAGAGGTTAGAGCACTGGTCGTAAACCAGGGTCGCAGTCTGAATCTCGCTGGTGTCTTATCATGCCACATCCTTGCTTCATGCTCATTCCTTGGCTGTGTTTTTCATCTTGTTAAGATTATGATATACCGTGTCATATATTCGAAATCACAGCGTTCTTACATTTTTTGGCTAACTGAGATCTTTCATTCGAAAAAAATATTTTTCTCTTCAACAGTCTGAAGAAATTGCAAAACCTGAACGATTTCTGTATTCAAACTTCTTTTCTGTCGGTCGAGTTCAAGAGTGACTTTCGCTTCCCCGCGCCCATAGCTCAGGTTAGAGCACTGGTCTGTAAACCAGGGTCGCTGAGTTCGAATCTCGCTGGTGGCTTATTTATCTGTGTCTTATATACGCCACATCCTTTCTTCATGCTCATTGCTTGGTTGTGGGTTTCATATTGTTAAGATTATGTATACTGTGTCATATATATTCTCGAAATCACAGGTTCTTACATTTTGGTAACTGAGATCTTTCATTCGAAAAAATATTTTTCTTCAACAGTCTAGAAGAAATTGCAAAACCTGAACAGATTTCTGTATTCAACATTCTTTTCTGTCCAGTCATTTGTCCGAACTGAAGAATGAATTCGCATCCTCCGGCGCCACCATAGCCTCAGAGGTTAGAGCACTGGTCTCGTAAACCAGGGCGGCGAGTTCGAATCTCTGCATGGCTTATTTATCTGTGTCTTATACATGCCACAACCTTTGCTTCATGCTCATTGGTTGGTTGTGGGTTTAATCTTGTAAAGATTATATATCCCGTGTAGTTTATATTCTTGTAAATAGCTATGTTCTTACATTTTTTGGATTACTAAGGTCTTTCATTCGAAAAAATTTTTTTTCTCCAACTGCCTCGAAGAAATTGCAAAACCTGAACTTATTTCTGTATTCAAACTTCCTTTTCTGTCCGGTGAGAAAGCTCAAGAGTGACTTTCGCTGTCTCCTCGCGCCACCATAGCTCAGAGGTTAGAGCACTGGTCTCGTAAACCAGGGGTCGCGAGTTCGAATCTCGCTGGTGGCTTATTTATCTGTGTCTTATACATGCCACATCCTTTTCTTCATGCTCATTGCTTGGTTGTGGGTTTCATATTGTTAAGATTATGTATACCGTGTCATATATATTCTCGGAAATCACAGCGTTCTATCATTTTTTGGCTAATTGAGATCTTTCATTCGAAAAAATATTTTTCCTTCAACAGTCTCGAAGAAATTTCAAAACCTGAACTTATTTTTGTTTTCAACATTCCTTTTCTGTCGGGTCAGAAAGCTCAAGAGTGACTTTCGCGGTCTCCTCGCGCCACTATATCTCAGAGGCTAGAGCACTGGTCTCGTAAACCAGGGGGCGCGAGTTCGAATCTCGCTGGTGGCTTTTTTATCTGTATCTTATACATGCCACAACCTCTGCTTCATGCTCATTCCTTGATTGTGAGTTTAATCTTGAAAAGATTATGTATCCCATGTCCTTTATATTCTTGGAAATGACAAGGTTCTGATATTTTTTGGCTAACTGAGGTCTTTCATTCGAAAAAATATTTTTCTCTCAACAGTCTCGAAGATATTGCAAAACCTGAACTTATTTCTGTATTCAACATTCCTTTTCTGTCCGGTCAGAAAGCTCAAGAGTGACTTTCTCGGTCTTCTCGCGCCACCATAGCTCAGAGGTTAGAGCACTGGTCTCGTAAACCAGGGGTCGCGAGTTCGAATCTCGCTGGTGGCTTATTTATCTGTGTCTTAAACATGACACAACCTTTGCTTCATGCTCATTGGTTGGCTGTGGGTTTAATCTTGTTAAGATTATGTATACCGTGTCATATATATTCTCGGAAATCACAGCGTTCTTACATTTTTTGGCTAACTGATATCTTTCATTCGAAAAAATATTTTTCTTTCAACAGTCTATAAGAAATTGCAAAACCTGAACAGATTTCTGTATTCAACATTAATTTTCTGTCCAGTCATTTGTCCGAAATCTGAAGAATGACATTCGCAGCCTCACGGCGCCACTATAGCTCAGAGGCTAGAGCACTGGTCTCGTAAACCAGGGGTCGCGAGTTCGAATCTCGCCGTTGGCTCATTTATCTGTGTCGTATACAAGCCACAACCTCTGCTTCATGCTCGTTGGTTGTGGGTTTAATCTTGTAAAGATTATATATCCCGTGTAGTTTATATTCTTGTAAATAGCTTTGTTCTTACATTTTTTGGATTACTAAGGTCTTTCATTCGAAAAAATTTTTTTTCTCCAACTGCCTCGAAGAAATTGCAAAACATGAACTTATTTCTGTATTCAAACTTCCTTTTCTGTCCGGTGAGAAAGCTCAAGAGTGACTTTCGCGGTCTCCTCGCGCCACCATAGCTCAGAGGTTAGAGC